TTGGAAATGCTTCTGTGACTAGGGGTATAAATGTTCGTAAATTAATTTTGTCAACTTTCAACAGGTAAAATAATACCAGAAGTAATGTAAAGGTCCCCTTGCTGGTGCTAGTAGTGATTTTACACTCAGTTGACTTATAAGCTTTTCGAATTGACAACCAATATTTTGGCGAAGAGTCTACGCTAAAATACCAAAATGTCTCAAATGTCTCTTTTTAATTTCTAATGACAAACAATTTTTTTTTGTCTGACCAGACTGTCTTTTTGTCAGGTCAAAACTGGTCCTTGTCCCGACAAATGACCTGCTTATAGACAAAACTTATTCGCAGGCTTGATGGTGTGATCACTAAGCATGGAATAGTAAATAGAAGTTGTTCATAAAAAGATAGGCTACATTAAATGTTTCAGTGTTGCATGTGGAAAGGTCTGAGTTTGCTTGATTTTAATACATGTGGCTTGAACATATTCCTAGTCTAGAATAGCTGTAAGTTCCATTGTCAGACACTAAACATTTCAATAGTCAGACCAGATGGAAAATCACATTTTGTTACCACCATTACTTTTCTCTGTGACTGGAAAGTGGCATTCCAATAATGATCTGTACGTGTCTACGATGTTTAGTTAATTATATCATTCCAATGTCTCCTAACTAGACCTGGCTAATGAAGAGAAATCACTCTGTCGACATGGAGGTTATGTGGCCCATACAATGTAAGGTGTTGGACTTCATGTAGACCTGTCTTTTCTGATAGCACAAGAAAAACAAAACTGAATGCTTTACAAAATTATACTAAATGAAAGATGCGCAAGAATGGTGCTTAGTGTTTTCCCTTCAGTACATGTAAGAACACAGCTCACAGATCAGGAATTAAGTTGTTTACCCTTGACTTGTGCATTAGACGTCTGCAGTTTAAGCTCAAGTTCTTGAATCTTGACAGTGTATTTTTCTGTTATTTCTTTTGTTATTCTTTCTTCATCAGCTATTAATAGAAGATAAAAATGATATTAATACAATACCAAGAAAGAACATACTGTAAGCTTCCCTTTGTTGACCAGTCTCCTAAGGAGGTGCATTCCCTAAGCAAAGACTTCTCCTGGGAAGACAACCTTCCCGAGAAAATATCTTCCCTATGCATCCTGCCTCCCTAAGCATGCTACCCAACTAAGCATAAACCTCCCCATATGCCTCTTCACCTTCTTAGCACTTATCTCCCATAAAATTAAAAGCCACCTCCTCGAGGCAAGTGACAGCCCACCATAAGCATTCACCATTCCACAGCCGCCATCCAGCTGAACATGGATGTGCTTTGTGGAAAGTATAACTTCTGACGGGTGAAAAGACCACTTCAAAATTTTTTAACCTTCCTAATTAGGCACTTTCCTGATTAGTTAGTTCTCCTAAGCAAGCACTTCCCCTGAAGCTAATCTTTCTTCATAATCTTAATTTTGTTTGAGCATGAGATTTCAGAACAACCATTATTTAACACAAACTAATATTTTAAGAGTGTTATGTTGGGTCAGAAAACCCTGCATGTTAACTACTATCAAATTAGTGTGGAATTCAATAAAATGTTCACCCTTCTGAAGAGAATCTGTTTCATTGGCTAAGATGTCAGCTAATCGTTTCTCAGCAGCCTGAAGTTGAGCTTCAGCTTCTGTGCACTGGAATGAAGGCAGCACATATTAATTGGCTTTTAGACTAAAACATAACATATACTGATTTCATTTGGAACATTTCACTGTTCTACAACTTAGTATAAAGGAACCTAATCAAAACTAGACAATAACACCAGCAATTAATAGCTTGATATATCAGAGGTAAAGTCCGAATCGGGCCAAGTGTACCATACTAAAAGAGCTTATCCTGGCTTCCGTAGAGTGAAGCAAGAAGGAGTATTTCTACTCCTCCCTAGGAGTATTCTACTCCTGCAATGAAATAGATGTCGCAACTTGTAAAGGTGGAGAAGCATAATCCTAAATTATTATGCACATGTAATCTGTAATGTAATGTATCTGACTGCTCTAATCTCTTGCTTCCTCATTCCAGGATTTCCACCTCAGTAAGCTGAGATAAAGATACAACTTACCCTTAGCTGGACTGAATCAATGTCCCTGGTTGATGTTAGCAGCTGATCCCTGGCCTGCTGGTGTGTTTTGATCTCAGTATTCAGTTGTGACTGCAGCTCTTGAACACGGTTCTAACCGAAAATCAAAGCAATTTCACTACAAACATGACATTTCAAGTTCCTCCAACACCATTAAAATGCATTCCTGTGAGCAAACACTACTGTCAACGTAATCCAAGAGTGATCTCCCTCCAAATCTCCTTGTACAGTCAACAAGTAAGTGCTCAGACTGGTCATTCATGTGCATTAGCACATTCTCCCAAATTGCACTATAACAGGTGTATGGAAACTAGTAAGTGGAAATTGAATACTATTTTCACAATGTCATGGAGAACTGCAACAGAGCATTGATTTTGTGGAAACCTGTATACCATAAAGGAAGTGTTACTAAGTTAATTTTATAACAATAGTGTTACACAAGTGACACTCATGTGGGCAGGTGCATTGCAAATTTCACTCATCAGCATGACAAGTGCTCTACACATAACAATTCCAACCCTGATTTCTAATTAAAAGGAAAACACAAGAACATGATTTTGAGTAAAAGTACTAAAATCATATTTGTAGTGTTAGTCTACAACGGGAATAAAATGCTCACAAAACCACTGATAACATCCCTCTGCATTAATGTTTCATTTTATGTTTCAACACTTTCCTGCTGATATTTGTTAAAACTTAACTCCTAAAAGACTATATTTCAAATAAACTAAGTTTTTCACGTCTTTTGAATCTCAATCTGGAAAGACATGACGTACAAGAACAGGGAACTGCATTTTTAAACTTACATTTTCAGACTTGAGATGTAATAGTATTTTGATTGAGACAAACAAAATGTACAGAATGTGTGACTTCAGTCTTCGTGAACTCTGGAATTTTCTTCTAAACATGGATCGAAATGGAAGATTCTGACAATCATTTGCATCACTGTTGACTGGTAGAACTACTAATTCTCACCTCCCATGTTTCAATTATACTCTTGTGGTGTTTTTCTTCAGATTCTAGCTTTCTCTTCAGTAGATTCACTTCACGCTGTAGAGTCTCAACCTGAGAACCAAGTCTTGTTCTGGCTTCAAACTCTGATCTCTCCAAATTATTCTGTAATGAAGAATGAGTCACGTGTGTTATACAATCATGTATCTTTGTATCATATACAGTGTATAACTTCCAAAGTAAATAGCTTTAAATAGCCTTACTAGACACTTGAAAAGTTAATAGACTTCCAATCAAATCTCTACAGACAGCTACCAAATACACTGTCTTGTTGATTGTTGGAGTTCAATGGGATCGTAATCTTTTTTCAACTAAACATCAGAGGACTTTTCAAAGGCATTCCAGGACAGAATTCAAATTTTCCAGTGTGAATTTACTAAGCTTCAAGTATATTCCAAAACACACTGCACAGTAGCAAGTACAGTATGAAGTCTTATACCAATAATTGGTTTATGCCCATAAACGCTTTTTACAAGCCTGTAATATCTATTTCTTTCTTTTTTTTTTTAGTACCTGCATTTCCCCTGAGACGCAGGCACAAGGAATCGTGGTTATATGTAGTTGTATGCAATGTCTTGAAGATGTCATGTGCACATGATGAATGCAATTACCATGATTCCCTGTATGCAAGTGTCATTGAGGGAATGGCCCATTGTATTGTCACTGAAAAGCCCCACCAAGGGAGTATCAATAAATTTATAATTGAATTGCATTGTATTGTATCTTATGTTTAGGCACAAAAGAACAAAACTAGATTTCTTTTCACTCTTACTGATGTCTATATTACTGATATACATGTAACCTATGCTAACCTGTAAGGTCTGTAGATTTGTAACCAGAACATTCTGTGACTTCTGATGTTCCAACAAACTTTTGTTTTCCTGCATCAGGCGAACCTCTGACTCCTTCATCAGAGCTTTCTCGGCTTTTAGGTTTTCACACGTTACCTGAGATTTGATGCCAAAATGATGTGTTCGAAAATATTATACAGTGTACAAAAAAACACTACACCATTATCATTTCATCATTTTAATTGAGACAGTGTGGCCAGCTCATTTCTAAAAAGGTCATGTGGCTCCAGTGTACACCTCCAGTGTACACCTCCAGTGTACACCTGAGTTTGTTATTGCTGGGTACAATGTCACTCAATTCCTTGAAGGATAGTAATTAATAATTTTAAAAAAATTATCATAATTATTACTTAATATTTAACTTTCTTCTCCCCACAAATGAATGATGTTCAAGACAACTATAATTACAAAATAACACAACATAACAAACTGGGAACCCAAACTGGTTAGGAGATGGTTGACCAGATGACTGGGGTGTTGGAACAAAATTACTCCAGCTGGTGGTAAAAATGCAATGTAAAACCACAATCGCCACATTACATTTTTTGCCCTAACCACTTGACCATGCTGCAATATGACATGTTTTGGCCTCAAGAGATGAGACAAGTAAAACACATCATTTGTCTCACAAGAAGTGGCTCCCCTCTCATTTCAGTTACAGAATGGTCATCTCAGTGAAAATCTGTATACTACCTGATTTAGAGATGCTTTCATCTTCCCTGGTTTATCCTTCATGAATTATTCATCACTTAGATAAGCCAAATGAAAGTGTGGCATATGTGATAGTCTTGTTTCAGTAGTACAGCCACATAGTTATCAGTTCTCTAGCTTCAGTCAGATTTGTTTGCAAGATAGCAAGCAGCAGAGCAACTCTATCTTGTTTGAAACTTGTAAGGAAATTAAAATAATTCTACATTTAGCAGAACGTAAAACTTTCCTATCACTTTTGTTGTTTTACAATGATAAAAGAAACTCACCTCAAGCTTGTTACATTTCTCCTTGGTGTTTGCAAGTTCCTAATGCCAAGTAGACAATACAACAATGTCACTTTCTCTCTAGTTAGGCATGTACAGTATGGCATGTGTATATAGCGCCAAACACTCAATGGCTATGAAATGTTTCCCAGATATAGCCCAATGCTAGGTTAAAATAGTATTTCCTTGAAAAAGAACTGCAGCTTTTGTTAAATTTTTGAACATTTTAAATGTGGTATTTATTCCAGGGCAGTGCTTAATTACAAGAGAGGTGGTTATTTGATGGGCATATTAAAAACTCATTGACAAGCTATTTTCAATAAATTATAATTACACAATAACTCCTATAATTTTTATCCAAAACTGACACCAACAGCAACCTAAACTCTGTTTATATTCCCCTATGGGGGTAAAGTAAATGCCTCTTTGAAGATGTTCCACATCAAGGCTCAAGTAAAATGCCTCAATGATCATTGTAAGCGTAATTTGTCATCCATGATATTAAGAGGTAATCAAATGGTTTACTTGTGTAATTAAGAATTGATTTCACTTGCATTTTGTCAAAGTTCTAATAACTTCCCTCGCCTAAAGGCTCGGAAATTATTAGAAGTTTGACAAAAGTGTGAGAAATTATTTCTTAATTTCACTCATCACCATTTGATTACACATACTAATCACATTGACTGACCTGTGAAACACTGTCAAGAGTTACTTGTGCCTTACTGAGAGCCACCTGTAAGCTACGAGATTTCTCAGAGACAGCAGAGGCTTCCTTTTTGAACGCCTCTGAGTTTGACTTGAGCATTGCATATCTCTCCTCAGCAAATTCCAGCTGTAACAAGATTATATAGTTCAGTTTTTTTAGTTCCTTTCCAGTAAGTGGGGGATAGGGCCAGAGGTTACAACATTTGGTTACACTAGATAATGTGAATGAACTAGGCAGAAGTACATGTAATTCTTAACAATGACCAGTGTGTTACCATAATAATATTATATTTACAGAGGAATTTTTCAGTACAATCAAAACTCTCTTCAACAGGAACACCACAAGGAAGATATAATATTAAATTTTATGAATTTCTTTGGGATTAAGTGAACTGTTTACAATATAGTACATGACAAAGTGTCTAGATCATTGAGGTGTCTGTAAGAAGTTTGATTGTGAAGTCCTGTAATTTTTCTAACCAACTACCTCTGGTCTGCCAGCAAATGCTGTATTTAAGATTCTCAAAGAGGTAAATTAAGTTATTATTTCTGCAACCCTGCAATCTCACCTGAGATTTCAACCGCGCGTTAGTTCCATTTAATTCATGGTTTTCAGCTTGTAGTTTATCTAGTCTTTCACTGGATTTCCTGAAATAAAGCAAAAGGTAAAGATTAGGTTCTTTTTAAAAATGAAAAACATGGGAGGAATTAATTTAGCTTTCAATAAAGTTGTTTCTCAATTTTACCGTAGCTACGAAGAGTGCGCCAGAATCTAGCCTACAGTATTGCAATAAACAGTAACAACAGGCCCTATTTAACAAGCTCTTTGATATTTTATAGGCTTTAAATGCAAATGAAAAAGGCCAAAAAAAAAACAAAAAACAAAAAACAAAAAACAAAACAAAACAAACAAACAAAAAATGTTAAAAAAAGAAACGGTTATACTGCAAATTAAACCAGCAAAATCACACTAGCATATACTACATGTACCTGACGCTCCAACTACATGTACAGTATGTAGTATTTTACTTGAAACCATGCTAGCATAATGTGTCAACCTATAGCCATGACCTCAGACATTTACAGTATGTACCACAAGATACATGTAAATTCAATTGAGCCTGACTTACTCTTCAGCCTGTGCCCTCTCAGTCTTGTAAGTTTCAAAGTGTCTCTGCAGTTCTTTAAGAGCCACNAGTTTGACTTGAGCATTGCATATCTCTCCTCAGCAAATTCCAGCTGTAACAAGATTATATAGTTCAGTTTTTTTAGTTCCTTTCCAGTAAGTGGGGGATAGGGCCAGAGGTTACAACATTTGGTTACACTAGATAATGTGAATGAACTAGGCAGAAGTACATGTAATTCTTAACAATGACCAGTGTGTTACCATAATAATATTATATTTACAGAGGAATTTTTCAGTACAATCAAAACTCTCTTCAACAGGAACACCACAAGGAAGATATAATATTAAATTTTATGAATTTCTTTGGGATTAAGTGAACTGTTTACAGTATAGTACATGACAAAGTGCCTAGATCATTGAGGTGTCTGTAAGAAGTTTGATTGTGACTGTAATTTTTCTAACCAACTACCTCCGGTCTGCCAGCAAATGCTGTATTTAAGATTCTCAAGGAGGTAAATTAAGTTATTATTTCTGCAACCCTGCAATCTCACCTGAGATTTCAACCGAGCATTAGTTCCATTTAATTCATGGCTTTCAGCTTGTAGTTTATCTAGTCTTTCACTGGATTTCCTGAAATAAAGCAAAATGTAAAGATTAGCTTCTTTTTAAAAATGAAAAACATGGGAGAAATTAATTTAGCTTTCAATGAAGTTGTTTCTCAATTTTAAAGTAGCTACGAAGAGTGTGCCAGCATCTAGCCTACAGCATTGCAATAAACAGTAACAACAGGCCCTATTTAACAAGCTCTTTGATATTTTATAGGCTTTACACGCAAATGAAAAAGGCCAAAAAAACAAAAAAAACAAAAAACAAAAAAACAAACAAATTAAACTAGCAAAATCACACTAGCATATACTACATGTACCTGACGCTCCAATCATGTGTACAGTATGTAGTATTTTACTCGAAACCATGCTAGCATGTGCCAACCTATAGCCACGACATCAGACATTTACAGTATGTACCACGAGATAAATTCAATTGAACCTGACTTACTCTTCAGCCTGTGCCCTCTCAGTCTTGTAAGTTTCAAAGTGTCTCTGCAATTCTTTAAGAGCCACTTTAGTTTCCTCCAACTCAGCACTGGACTTATCAGGAGTCTTAGGTAATGGAGTGGAAGCTAACACAGACAGGTCAACATCAGTTGTTGGTATCTTGAAATATATATAAAAAAAATAAAATAAAAATAAAACAGTTAACCATTCAGCTGTGAGGAAGATGACTGCATTAATGACAATTGGCAGTCTTGAACTGGCCTCTCCTAGGCATTATCTGGGTGTAGCCTTGCAGAACAAAAGAAGATTCACTCCTGAAGCATGGATCACTGGGACTGACTCTAGACAAAGCAGAGTCAACTTTTTGTAGTCCGTATAGAGATACATGGTTTGTATGTATCCTCACGACTGCAGATCTTGTACAACCTTGGGTCAGTAAACATAAAGTCTTCCCACTTGTTTCTCTCACTTCACCAATTACTCACCGGCGTTTGTCCACTGTTTGCTAAAAGGACACGGTACATGTCACGTTGCCTAATGACAGCCTCAACCTGTCAAACAACAGTTATGAAAACTGAATGAGATGACATCGAAAATGATTACTGACTGGTATTAAAACAAAATTAAGAGACAGTGATTCCACAGTGAGACCACTAATCTCTATGAGGGTTTTCGGGATAAGGGAAATTGAGGTAAAAAATTAACAGGAAACAGGATACTTGTGGGAAAAATAATGGAAGTTACTAACCATGTGCACTTGTCTTTCTCTTGCTTCCTTGAGACCGTCTACTTCCTTCAGTGAAGTTTCTAACTGCTTCTGTAATCCTTCAATTCTAATGGAAGATTCTTTTGTTTAGCATTGCGAGCAATGTTTATAATTATAACATTTTAAGCTCTAGAAAACAGTTCGAGTATCCATTTAACAATGTCAATTAGCACTTCTATGCATGCCAAAGGATAACAATAGCCAAAACTAAATTAGCTTATTAAAGAACTACCATGCCTGCTTGCTCATTGTGTTGTGTTCTTGGGCAAGACACTTTACCCCCACAGTGCCTCTCTCCACGCAAGAGTGTGAATGGGTGCTGCTGAGTTTAATGCTGGGTACCCCTGCAATGGCCTAGCATCCCATCCAGGGAGCAGAAGAAATACTCCTTGTTGTTTCATGCTACTGACAGAAACTGGGATAAGCTCCGGCCTGATGGGCCACTTGGCTCGTATGCAGACTATGTATGTAGTGCTGCGGTATTGTTCAATTTCAAGTATGGCAACTACAATATTGACTAGTTTTTGTCATGTCTCAAAGTGTTGATACTGTTAGGTGATAGCAATAGAAAGCCCAGTATATCAAAGCCATCATCTTCACAAAATACAAGTAGTACTTACATGCCATCTCCTTCCCTCTTCTCTTTCTCCTCACTTAGTTCCCTGATAACTCCAAGTAGTTTCTGATTCTGCTGTTGAAGTTCTTCTATATTCCTGACACAGGTTAAAAAAGAAGAATGAAATAATAGTTAATTACAGTACATGTATGTTGCTGATTTACTGAACTTTGCGTGTGGTTAAAGTATATTAAGTGAAATACAGAAAGCAATCAATGGAAAGATGTTCCACAAGTTTTCTCTACCATTTTCAGGCAATTGATCTTTCACTTAAGATATCATTAGTGATTCTGTTGATAAAACTAAATTAACAACTGCATTGTGCTACATGGAAGATGGGTGCCTGGGATATCCAGGGGCCTCCACTGTGACCAGCCGGCCCCTAGACAGTATAATACTCCCATGACTGGCAATCCCCACAACCTAGCGATGAGCCCCCATGCAGTCTTCCAGGCACCTGTCACACTGAGTTAACAGTGGAGATGGGGAGGGGAGGGGGGAAAGAAAGATGTCATCGAATAGACCAAAGGTGTGCAGGAAATGGCTCAATTCTATGACCAAAACGTTCCAGGACCACCACGCTGGAACACACTGGTAAAATGGCAAAGTGCACTGAGCTTGCAATACCATACAAATACCGCTGACTGAAGAACAAGCTACTCTTTGTTGTTAACTTTGTTAAATTGCATTTAACAGCATTTATAAGTATTGCACTACAGCTCAATAGAATCATTAACTTAAAGACATCTAACTAATCAAGGCAAACATTTCCTTTCAGTTCTTTGGTTTTGACCACTCACATACATCAAAACTTATTTAGTTGACAAATTTCTTGATCCTCTTCAACTGCCCACTTGTTTTGACAAAAGAGTGTGTAGCATGATTGTTAGGGTGAGTTTAAGCCCGAAGACTGTTGAATTCAGTGATTGATGTTTCAAAAACCTGAGTGATAGTCATCTTAAGTAGTATGCTGGACAAAACTGTTCTGGATCAATGTTTTAACACGAAAAATTAAAACAAGTAAAGTGATGCAAATAATTTTGCGAGTGTCTTAAACTTTATTAAATTCCACACATGGATATTTAATTTCATATCAATCACGCAAGGAAGACTTGAGTTACAGAGAATCTAAATTTGCAGAATGAAAAACAAAAGTAAGGAAAATTGCACGATTTCTGAGAAAAAAAATAGTCATAGTTTACATTTACATGGTAGTGTTAGATCAGTGTTGTTGTGCGAAGAACATTGTTGCCTGTTTGTGGAATTCTTTCATGAATTAGACGAAATGTTATGAAGAAGGAGCGATATCCATCTAAACAGCACTATAACCCTGTAATACATCAGCAGTTTAGAGAAGCAAAGATTCAAGTTGTGATGCTACTACCACTGAAGGCCACAAGGCAAACCAAAGAAAATTATTTTGAGCTGTTAAGCAAGAAATTATGAGAAAATGGCAAGCTCCTGGTAGGTGAGCTCCAAAAAAGGTCTGAAAACTTTCTTAAAAGCAAAAATAGCATTGTTTGAGGTTCTCAGTTGATCATGCTTTAACACAGTAGTATCTTGTGCAATTGTGGCTTGTGCGAGGCGTAAGCTAAAGGCAGCCATATTCAAAACAGGCCGAAGACCAGTCTAGTGGCAAGATCAGTTTACAGACTTCAAAGATCAGTCTCTGAAGACAGTATCGTATTTCAGTGGCCAAATAAAGTTGTAAGTCTTTCTTATGCTTTCTTGTCAAAATCTTGCCCAAAAATCCACCAGCATGTAAAGAATTTCTTCGCAAAACAACACTCTAAATGTGACTCTTATTTCTCAGAAATTACGTGATTTTACGTACTTTTGTGACTCTGTTACCAAATTTGGCCAAGGTGTAATGCAAGCCTTTCTTACGTGATCCACATAAAAATAAGTTTCCATGTGTGGAATTTAGTAGAGTTTAAGACAATCACAAAATTAGTCGTTTCAATTTGTTTGTTTTCATTTTTTGTTGTAAAACGTTGATCCAGAACAGTTTTGTCCAGCGTACTGTAAAGTGAATGACTTGTTCAAACACCAGCCACCAACAGCAGCCATTTTCAGGACTTCCCTCTACCTACAAATCTCAATCTAACTACTAAATCCAAGCCAGGAGCCTACCAACCTAAAAGTAACAAGATGCTCAGAGATGACTTGCGATGAGCTAGTGACCTCGGCACTTGACATGGGATGCATACTGACAGTCTCAGAGCTGACTACACCTCCTCTAGCCTCCTCACATTCCTTCAAAAGCACTTGGACCTGTAGGTATTTAAAGATCAAATCATAATGTATGGTCTTGATCATGCTGTCTGTTACTACTGACCTCATCCTCCCACTCACCCTCAGATGTTTGTTTTTACACATGCACTTTGAATAAAGGAACCTGTAAACATCAGTGAAACAAGAGTTGTGTTCATTTGTCTTCTAGAGTGGTGGCATTCTTTATTCAGTTAAGTTGTTGTGTTGATAACAGAGGTTATGTTGACTGACAGACTGATGGACTGACAGACTGACAAACTGATAGACAGATGGACTCACTGACTGACTATCTGTCTGAATGTCTGACTGTCTGACTGACTGACTGTCTGTCTGTCTGACTGACTGACTGACTGACCGCCTTTCTTGAAATGACAATCTGAAATAACTGTATTACAACCAATAAATGCAGGGTTCCAGATAAGTTTTCAAGACAGGGTGTTGACAAGGAATTCCAATGGGTCAATTCCCACTGCTCCCATCAAATCAGCATAAATTTTCTATCAATTTGTCAGGTCATGCAGCTGACCTTGTTGGGTTTTGACCCGGGACCCCTCACTTACAATGTATCCGGAACAATCTAAATAGGGACACTAGATAAAACTAGTTACTAAAACTAAACAAGTAACGTTTGCATCAAACCTGTTGACTTAAATCAGCAGACAGATTCCTCAGTCTGTCATTTTCTCTCTTCAGATGTTCACTTTTCTTTGTAGCTTCTTCAACAAATACCGTGTGTTCATCACGTTCCTGTTGTCATGTTAAATTAAAGTGACAAGCACAAAAAAAGTATGTTAAATACAACAACCACCATGGTGAAATAAGCTTGACATTAATTTTACTCCATATGTTTATTTACTCCAAATAATTACAAGTATTCCCATCACTACAACAAATACATGTATGTACACAGTTTGCAGTTGTTCTTATCGCTGACTGAAATAATTTGTTCAACTCACCATAAGAGCCACGTCTAATCTCTTTGTGAGTTTATCCACGCTGTGTAATGCCTGTTCATAGTCTCTCTTCTGCTGCAGAAGAACAGGGGCTTTTTCCTCAATTTCCTGCAATGTAAATCACTGTCAGTGATTATTCCTTCAGAACCATCAGCACCCTACCAAAAAAGTCTGCAGGATAAAGAGATGGAAAAAAAAAAAAACATCAAGAGTTCTTCCATAGTTCAGCTACATGTGTACCTTAAGTATCTGATCCAGGTACATTTTTAGTCGAGTGTTTTCAGTTTTTTCCTGTTGTAATGCATCTTGCACCTCCACATATTGACTATAAATCTGCAAAAGAACAAATTTAAATAAGCAGTGATTTGGTTTTCAACATCAGTGACGGTAGATTGTAACAATATTGTGAGTAACTGTCTCCAGTTTGTCAAGAGCACCAACAAAGAAACAATTCTGAGCCTAATGAGAGTTAACTCCATGACCTTACGTGTAAGTAAATTGCTTGGAATGATAGTCTTACCCCTGACCTACAGGAGAATCACTTATGATGAGCTACAAGTAGGTTCGTGTACATGTACTATTTACAATGTAGCAAATATTCTAAACACAACACACAGTAAGTGTGACAGTACACAATCAAAAGCGTGAATTTGAATTTGTAATAAAAAGAACAACAATAAAAGACTGTTGCAAATATCCTGTGTATATCTTATTCCATTATACATGTACATAGCATACGTGTACAATATACCTGGGTGAGTGTCATTCCAGATTTCATATAGGAACTGGTAAGTGCAGCAGTTGGTGAAAGAGTACTTAACTCTTCTGGAGTTAGAGGTGCTACACCTGTGCAAGATTTTCACATCACAAAGTCACTTTCATGGTACAAAAGTCAAGTGGTGGGTACGATCAAGGACTAGATACTTGGTCACTGACATTAGCATGTTTTCAAGAAACTTAATATATTTATGAGCACAATCAAGAACCACTTACAATTCATGACTACAGCACTGATTAGATGGAAATGGATTATAATGTGGATGAAGTCAAAAAATAACATAACTAGGTCACTGTGCATTTTGAGACAAACACTCATTAAAATTCTCAGCTTTTCTGACATAATTTCATAAGCTTATTAAGAGAACACATCTAATGTTGCTACAATTTCAACCAACATGGATTCCAATCTGTAGGTACAGAGTAAAGTTAAAACTTAGTTAATACATACTGGTGCATGTACTGTTGTTACCTCTTTGCCTTGCAGCAGCTAACAAATCATTAGCGTTTTCAAGCTCTTTCTCTAGTTTACTGATCCTTTCCTCTGTAAAGAGAGCAGCAATAATTAGCATTAATGAAATTTAAAACTGTACAGCTTCATTATATACATGTAGAGTAACAATGTTTTGCCAAAACTTTGCCATTTTTTAAGTGCCTGGTGTTCCACCTCAACATGTATTTTTATCTAACTTGAAACATGTGGTGGCAAAAGAAATTACATGTAATAACTTACCAAACTCCCTGACTTTCTCTGCATGAGAATTTTCTTGTTCACTTAACCTACTGTCAAGATCAAGACGACCTAAGGGTACAAGAAAGTACATGTTACAAGAAAGTACATGTCACAAAGCCTTTTGTTGAAACAGTTCAAAACATAGCGAAAGAACTCTGCAACAAATTAAAATAAAATGTACTTGCCAATGGGTTCCAATAAAATTACATATATTGTAAGTTATAAATGTTGTAGTTACATTCTGATCTCAGATAATCTTTTATTTAAACTATAAGTGGTTAGATTCTTCAGGTTAGTTAACTTTTTTTCAATTTAATCCTGTAGCTAAAATGGGTGAAAAGTGGTCACTTTCAGAGTTTCTGGTGCATTTCTTGGGGTATAAGTCAGGTGATGATGACCACATGTACTTGTTTATCTTATTTTATACTCTGATATCTAAGTTATTTAAAGTACTAACATTCTATAGTTGTTTACCAGCAGGTGCACATACCTTCATTTGATTCTTTTAACAGTTTTTGAAGTTCTTCACATGCTGTCAACAAGTCTTCACTTTTCCGTTTTGCTTCATCAGCACTGTCCTAGAAATAAAATGTTGAAAAGCATTGTTTCAAATAACTTGTAAAGATTTAGAAAATGTCTCAAAATCTCTTTGCTAGCGAATGAAATTAACTATAAATTGTTACAATGAAATGTAGAAGGGAATAATACGACGATCAAATCATATCCAATGATGTATCTTGGTTCTTCTTGTGCTATCACTGCATATATGTCACTATTATTTCACTGCAAAGAACTGAAAAGTCATTCTCACACTCGATTTCATACCCGTACTCAAATCTAAAGTCCCCTATTGGGTGTCAGAAATTCAAACTTAAGTTATTGTTAAGGGTTTCAGTTGTATTTTGTTAGTATGGAGAGAGGTTAACTTCTGGAAGAGAATAATATAGCTTGTTGCTAACTTTTCTTTTATTTCCTTTTTTATCAATAACTTTTCAGTTACCTTATAAAGTACTGCCAACTTTGACTGTGAGGCAAGCTCTGTTTTGAAGTGGTCTTCCATCTTAACAAAATGCTCACGAGCCTACCAAATGGCCAACAATACTAATCAATGTCATTGCTCATGAACTCCAAACCCTTCTATAGTGTACATGTACTTCAAATAAACTCAGTTGTCTTCAAGAGACAGACAGGCCAAGACTGGATAAGATAACCTAGTAGCAGAGCTCCTGTGCACCCAAGGCCCGTGACCAAAGCCCCATACCTTAGAAAATTTGCTAACCCATTAATCTAAAAATTATGGTTGTCACGTGACTGTCTGTACATACGTATGCCCATACCCCATGCCCCATCCCTTGGAAAATAAGAGAGTAGCACCATAACCATAGGTACATCTTTGATATTGAACATCCAATTTATGGTTAACTGACAGCTGTCAAAACAAGGTATCAGCTGACCAGTATCAGCTGACCAGTATCATGTGACCATATCGTGGGCTCAGGTTAAGAACTCATTTAGATTGCATGTAATTTTTTGAAGTTGGCTGCTGAACAGGTACTGGTTTTTCGTTTGGATTGCGGGCTCAAGCCAGTTTACTACTCTGAGGGAGAAGGAGTGTACGTGCAAAGGCAAAATTTTGGCAGTATGGTTTGTTCAAATTTAACTGGAAAAAATAGAGAAACCACATGCTGGACAATTATACTTTGCTTATTTTAATGTTATTGACAGATGACTTGACTGGGCCCTTGCCGATAAGGCAAACTTGTGAGAGTGAAAATCTGATTGTCCAGGACTACCAGAGAGCACCTTTTTTGAACAACAAATGAACTTGGAATTTAGGGTCTGGACGCACTGGACTGACCAAATTTGTTTGGCCCTTCCAAAAATCTCGACAAAATTTGTCTCTGCCAAATTTTTAACTTGCCAAGCGTGGGCGCATTGAATCACAGCAAAATATTTGTTAACCACAAGTGTCAATCACATGGAAATTAAATTGCTGCTTGTTTCTTTGGACCTTTGCCTCTTTTTCTGCTCTCGTCTGCTCTTGAATCCTCAGCTTGGCTGCTTTCAATTTGATTACGTGTAGTCATGAAACTTGTACTTGTACTTGTACTCGGCTGACTCGGGTGGACATACGGATGTACAAATTGAGCAGAGCTTGGTCCTGGAAATGCAGCTGGAACATTAACGTAGACTTGGGAACCGTAATAGTTGTACTGTGCGAACGGATCGTCATGGAGCATACCGAGGTATGAATTTTCCATGTTTATCGTTTGATTGCCGCGCAAATATAAATTTAATTTTGGCGGGCTTTGGACTGAAATACTCCGACTAAAAAAAGAGATCAAATTTTCTTGATTGACATTTTCCTTCAAATCATGGCATGTAAATTGAAAAATCAGTCAGATTTCACGCCTGACAAAAATTTGTCCTGCTCCGAGGCAGGACAACGGCGTCTTTGAAGTTTGGTAAGCCTTGACAAAATTTGGTAGATCTAAAAATCACCGGAGGCACTTGTCTCAGGGAATTGATGACAGATTTTTTCGCAAAATAAACCAAAATTTGCCCAGTGCATCTGGGCCCTTAGTTACTAATTAAGTTTTGAATATGAAACCCACAATGCAACCTCCTGTACCTTACCTCTTTTAACTTCTGCATGTAGCTTTCCACCTTCTTGTTCATTTCAGTATTGCTTTCCTTCAGAGTGTCTGCTGATGTTTTGAAATGAGAAAGCTGCAAGGAAGATAATAAAAACTACAAGCATGTAAATATTGATTACACCACAAAATTCAAGCATCACATTGAATATTTGTCGAAATTCAGAACTTTTTTCATTAGCCCTTATGTTGTTCCCTTGCCAAAAGAATATTTCCTTACTGCACCCTAATAATTTTATACATATACATTTGTCACCTAATTATATACAAATGAATAATACCTCTTGACTATCAGTCCCTTGTATATGCTCCTCTGTTGACCCCTTATAACTTGATACATCTAAATTATCCTTTGTTTACTACATGTACCTCTATCAGTCCCTTACACAGTCAGATAATCCTTTATTGACCTCCTAATAATATTATTGTATGCACCTCCGCTGTCCCTGGATTACAGTATATGCAATACCCCTCTATTGGTATGTCCCTTAATCTTTTTAAGACATCCATGAAGAGGGTGCCAAAGGGTTTAAGCGTGACAAATGAGGGCAAAAAATTAGTGTGATGCATGAAAAGTATCAAAAGACATACACGTATGGTGTGTAAATTTAGGAATGAAGCCAATGTTGATAGTAGCTAATTACAAAGCAAGGGTGATGTGTGAATTTGTTTAACATTTACAAGTTAATCCCTCCCTTTCCACCCTCTCCTGGCTCCTGCCTCAATAGACACTAGCAAGTTTCTCTTGAGGTTAAATGATAGTGGGCTTCATTGCATGTGTTTCAGAAAAATCCTCACCTCTTCAGTTCTCTCATCTAACTGAGACTGAAGTTCCAATACTTGAGAAGACTGTTAACAAATATCAAAATACAGTAATTAATATGTATGGTTGAAATAATGTTATCACTGAAAATGAAATGGCTGCAGATCTGAAAATAAAATTGCACTGTGCAATGCAAGTTTTCTTAATATCCAAACAGATACATTTAGACACTAACCTTAGAAAGCCTTACCCTAACATGTAACTCTCTTCCTAGAGATGAATCAAACTGAAAACTGCCACTTACACCTTTCATAGCACAATACCTTTTCTTTCCGAAGTTTGACCAACTCATCCGTTTTGCTATTTAGTTCTTCACTAAGCCATTTATTCTGTCTTTGAATGAGCTCCTTTTCTTGCTCAATTCTCTTTTCACGAAACTGGGGATAGAATATAATGAAACGTCAAAACTACCAGTCAAAAGTTAAAACTACCAGTCAAGGTATATGAATATAAATTGTCCTGTAAAGTCAACTGAACTGAGCTGAATAACTTTACATGTATTTAAACATGATGGAATAATCGGTAGAGCTGGACAGATCATGCATTTAGGCTTAAAATGAAATTTAAGGAAATTGAAATACAGATTGTGCTCTAAGAAAGTTTGGGGGGATAGCGAGAATGACTTTTGAACTAGTACATGATACACCATACAGTAGTTCGAGCTTGCCTGTGGGCGAGCCGGAAAATAAATTTTTCTTTATACCCTGGTCAAATAATAATGATGCAAAAATTGTGTGATGATTTAAACAAAGTATTGCCTAGGATAACAGGGCATTTACTAGGGTGGCAGCTTATGCTGGTTGAGTACATCTCACAGGCTGTTAACATTAACAACATGTAAAGTTACAATAAAGACTGCGTTCTGTACATGCTGTATTGGTTCATACCATTCTTGAGTACTGTATGTATTAAAGTATAACAAGATGTCCAAATTATTGTTGTTTTGCATGCTTTATCGACACCTATTAGTACAGCAAACTGTTTTTTTTTTAATTTTTTGGTTATTTGAGAACACTTGGGAAACTGACTTGTAAAACACTTGCATGTGGCTTGTGCTTTTGAAACTTCTCTTGTGTTTAAGATCAAATTCCTGTCATGTATAATGAAAGCATAGTGGTGAGTGCATAAATCTACAAAACAGCATCCACCTTAAAGGAAGTTTCCTGACTTTGAATTTGATCAAGTTTTGCCTGAAATATAATATAAAGCACTTATTGTCAGTCAGTGACAACACAAACAGCATTACACCAATATGCCATACATACCACCTCCTAGTTTACATGTTTATCCAATTTTACATCACAGTTTATAAACAATAATATTATTAGATTCGGTTTTTGTGATATCCAGAATAATCAAGGTCAAGGTAGGGGTTGTCAGCCAAAGCCGAAAGCTGAGACTGATAACCGTTACCGAGACCTTGATTATTCTGGATATCACAAAAACCGAATCTAATAATTGTTTTATTATACATTGAACAAAAAAAATGGAAGTAATGTTTTTGCTTCTTCACTGACGACAGCAACACAAAGTGTGCGAACTTGACATGATTACCCTTAGAAACCATGCACCACGGTCATACATGACATGATCACCCTTGAAATTGAGCGTCCTTGACATGATTATTGTATAATCTTCAGAGATGACATTACAGGAGCTGATTTTGAAAATTCACTGTACGTTTTCACCCAATCAGAAAAGAGACAGTGAGTTCAATGTATAATAATAATAATAATAATAATAATAATAATAATAATAATAATAATAATAATATACATTGTGCGCACTCTGATTGGTCAAAAACCCATGTTGTTTCAGATTACAAAACATAGAAAAAGCGTCTTTTATTGTTTTGCTCATGTAAAATCTATATCATAAAGTAAATGAAGAAGCCTAAGCTGGGTATTACACTGTGATTAAACACTCCGGACATTTGAGAACAATTGAAAAATGCAGAAAACACTCGCCTGCGGCTCATGTTTTCTACATTTCCCTTGTGTTCTTATATGTCCCTTGTGTTTTATCGCAGTGTAATACATGACTTAGGCTTCTTTATTTGTTAATTATATACATTATACATGTATGTGCAAAGTTTAAAGTGTAAAAAAAGGTGACTGGACCTTTGCATTTACAAAAAATTGACAATTTACTTTTTAGTGATAAGTTAATAAAGATGGTGAATTTTAAGCTCGGTAATGAAATGTGAAGGTGAATTAATCAACATGACACGAGCGTGGGACAAAGAAAAATTNGTGTCATGTTGATTAATTCACCTTCACATTCAATTTACTTTTTTATTTTAAAATTCTTGGTATAGTATGATAGCTAGCTCTATCTGCTTTTAATTTGATATGGAGTTTAGGTACATGTACATTTGCAGTTTAAACTGAACACAAATGAATGCAAGAATGCAAGAATGCATGAATGCAAGACACCTCTAAAGGTATACGCTAACCTTAAGTTTCACGTACCTGAGCCTCACACTTGGTGGAACTGGCTTCTGCCAGTTTTTCTGACATGGTTTTCCATTCCTCTGAAAAGACACAAAAAAACACAAAATGTTCATATAATTACCAAACATAATGCCAGTTATTTACAGTGCAAATCTAAGAAGAATGAAAACTTCAATTGACTTGGACATGTTCACTGTACCTTAATTGATGAGATAGCAGTTCAAAGTTTATCAGAAGGGTAGGCAGTTTATTTTATTTGTTATCTGATTGATCCTATATAATTGCTCATTACATTTACAGGGACAGAAATTCTTTTCCGCATAATGCAGAACAATAGATAATCAGCTTACCATTTAATCTGTCTATCTCCTGGTTTTTCCTCTCTACTACAGACAACAGCTCCAGTTTCTCAGACTCAAGCTGTTCATTGAGACGTGATACCCGTGACTAAAAGTGGTACAAAAATAAGGCAATAAATTAGATTTCCTATACCTACATGTATACCCTTGGGCAATAACTAACTTGCATGTACATGTATAATTATAATAAAAATTCTTGTTAGTTGTACATTGAAGTCTCAATCTCTTTACTGGGAACTGTAGATAAGTTTGGATAGTTTGTCACTGGAGTTATTTTGTTGTATAAATATTACTACCCTTGGCATTTAGCTTTGGTTGATAGCACATGTACCTTACCTTCCCCTTGACTTATCTGGATATCACCACAAAATTGTTTATTATTGCAAATATATTCAGCTGTGTTTACAGTATACATGTAAACAGCATCATTTTAACAAGGCTTACGTCTGTAAGTTGTGATCCTACAGTCCATAGACCATGCCGTAAGAGCTAAAAGTACTGGTGTATTACTTTAACGTTGGTTGCTATGGCACAGGGGTGAAATAGGTAAGGCCCACATGTACGAGCCAAGTGGCCCATCAGGCCAGAGCTTATTCAGTTTTCTATAATATGAAATTACTGGGAGTATTTCTATTCCTCTCTGGATGGGATTATAGTCCATCGCAGTGTTACCATACAAACAGCAGTAAATTTACCGGTACCCATTTATACATCTGGGTGGAGAGAGGCACTGTGAGAGTTAAGCATCTTGCCCAAGAACACAACTGAATGACCTCGCCAGGGCACAAAAACCTGGATCACTCGATCCAGAGTCAAGTGCACTAACCATGAGGCCACCATGCCTACCAGTATGGAATGAGTATCCTTGTAAATACATGTAGCTACATCTGTATTTTGCTGAGTGGGATTCCTATCATTACAAATTCATCTAAGTATACTACAGTATAAGTCTGGTTTTCCCAACAGCTTGCTGGTATGTACTGGAAAATTGACAGATTGACAAAAGACAGTCAAGTGTCTTGCCTAAGAACACCACACACATGGCTGACCAAGACTGCAAACTGGCTGCTCTTAGGGCCAATGTTCTATTCCAAAACTCATTAAAGCTACACTGTATAGATACATAAAAGCTTACATAATTTGTTGATGCATCTTCCTTGATACTCTCTACTTCCAGAAGTCTTTTTTGCTTTTCTGTAAGTGTAGCAACTAAAAAAGAAAAAACAAGCAGACTAATTCAGTATACTGCTTAACTCTTCCAAGACCCTTTTTGCTTCAAAGAGGTAGAAAGTTAATCTTAAGTTAAGTTCTTATCGTATGACTTCAATTAGTCAAACTACAAATGAGCTACATGTACATGTTAAGTGGTTGATCTGAGCTGGTGTCTCAACTACAAGTCTCACTGTTTGATCCTTGTGAAAATTTAGGCCCATTAAAAATTTTCAGGAAGAATTTGGTCGCAACAGTGTCCATATGTTTTAAATTCAATTAGGCTTGACTGTTAGAAAAACCTTTCAGGCTAAGTAGCTCCCTGGATTTTACTATTGCAGTCCTCCAGATTGGTGAATAAATCTGAATACTCTTTATAACCTTACCAGTCTCATCGTGTTCTTTCTGAAGTCTTTCATTTTGCTTCTGCTCTGACTCAAGCTTAGCATTGCAGGATATAAGCTGCTTCTCTATCTGGCTGAACTGTTGTTCTATAAAGTTAATGAAACATTGTAAGCTTTATATTTGCGTCGAAACAACCAACATGCCAAATTTAAAGAGCAGTGCATGCAATATTAACAATACAAACGCGATTTGTGAGAAAATAGTATAGTTATACAAATTTTTATTCAATTCAAACCTTAAATAAGAGCTGCATTGAGCTAAATAAAGCGTTTTTGGCATGTTTTTCACAGATATAACAGAAAAATTCAAACCTGCGTCCACACGTGCACGTCGAAGACTAGCCATGTCAGAGCGGTATTTCTCATCTTTGTTCGAGTGCTCATCAAAAACCTGCTTAACTTTGAGTAGAACTGTGGCTGCATCTTCACTCAAGCTGGCAAGCTGAGCAATAGTTTCGCTCGAAATTCCCAAAGTAACGGACAAAGTTTTAACTACTTCACTTTCCTCCACTGCGGAGGCCGCCATCTTGCCAGCTTGGCGCGGTAAGAGGTCACGTGATGAGCTAGGATATTACATGACATGCTACACGACATACTATATCAACGTAGCGTGACAATGAAACTGAGCCCGCAGTCACAAACAGGGGGTGACCGAACCGAGCGGAACTCGAAGAGGAATCCGGTCAATCCAGTTAAACTGGATTTGAAAACAGCTCTTACATGAACTGACCTGAACTCATTCGCGTCCCTCCCTTTCCAATGATTTTGTCCAAAAAAGAAACACACTTGTAAGCGTTCAAAACGTAGGTGCGTTGCCATATGAGACATCTAATTTTGCAAAGCAGGGAGCAGATTTCGGATTGTTAGGCGGATAGTAAAAAAAATTTCCTCCGAGATTAGTGACCCAATGGCTCGGAAACGTGACCACATGTATATACCATTACGCAAATTCCTGCCTACGTCTTCCTTCCGGGCCGGGATGTCCAATCCACCGTTTATTCAACAAAGTCACGCCAAACTATCTCTTCCCACATACTTTTTAAAGTAATATAATGAAACAATAGTTTTTACTCATCAGTATTTCCCAGCCTTGATCAGGACTGTTTTTATTCAGTCTTCCTTTTCAACTTCGCTGAAGTGGGTATGTACCGGAGAGTACTTTAAATCGCAGCATGTTGTTTTCAGGGGGTGGGTTTGGGTACGTTTGTTGGTTTATCAAGTCAAAAGGTTACCCACATGATACGTATGCAAATTTCACGCATAGTCACTGAATTGGAACGTGTTCTTTTCTTGTTGAGGGTTAACGAAAGCAATACCTTAGTGATTGTTAGTACCGGCTACCCAGACGGTCAGAAGCAAGAAATTATCCTAAGTTATCCGGTTTCAAAAGCGCACAGCATATCCCATACAACAGTAAGTATCTGGCTATAACATTTAAACTGGTTTTGTGTCATTTATTGAGCTTTTTGAGAGTAGATGTAGTTCGGCTTCGTTTGGCTTAAGTTATTAAATACCTGTAAATTATATGGGGGAGTTTATATTTTCACCGGCTGACGGTTAACTTAAGATCGCAACGAATACTTTGCTACGAAGTAAGCAGTTCTATACCCGTAAAGTGATTCTATTTGGCTCTCTGCGTTGCGGAAAATAACGAGATAATTGGCTTTATATTGGTGGTAAGTAAGCGTTGAACCGTTTGGTAGAACTTACGTTACGCATCATTTCATTACAAGATTTTGACTAGCTTCTTTATAACCCTTGGACTTCGTACTGTCCATATAGTGTGTTGATGTTATCAGCCGGCCATACCCTGTCGGCTGATTGCAGCCGAAAACGAGCTCGCAAACAGAACTTTAAAACACTGCTGTGATGTTGTGTACATCGCGTCGTACTGTTTAACTTTCAATTTTAAAGACCGCTTGCAAGAAGGGCTTATTATGTTACACTTAGATGAAAATCATTCTTAATAGTAATATAAGGATTTTAATCGCTTTCTGCGATAGAAAGTAGTAGAAGAGGTATCAATTTGTACGCAAAACGTGCTATCTGTTTACAAAGAAAATATCGCAAATATCGTTTGCAGTAGTATCGTTTGCATAAATGTCCTGCATCACTTGCATAATTTAAATTGCTAATTTTTGTTGGCTTTTGTTGAAGTCTCGGGCGTAAGTCAAAACACATGCCACAGACAAAGTCTTGTACATGTGGCCGGGTACTTAATTACCGCGAAAACACGTACCCGATCATACTATACGACAACACAAGAGTACTAGTGTTATAACCTTTTTCACTATAAAATGAAAACTGACATGTTTAGGTCCAGACCAACTTGTAAATGTAAATTTATCATGGAATGTAACTCTGCGTGTGGGCAGATTTCCTTTATCGCGCCAAGATTCCACCGCCTGAATAGAACCAAACGGCTCTCGGGCCCAGAATATCGTTCAGTAATAGGCCTCATTGTCGATAACCGCCATGTTTGTTTTTACATGCAAATCAGGCACGTGATTTCTGACGGGGTAAACAAGCTAAAATCGGCAAATTTCATCATGTCTGATGAGGATTTTTTCATATCCATGCTTTGGTTTCAGTATTGGGGTGAAAATATTCCAAGTTTTACACAATTTCGGCGCTTTTAGAAAAAGAAAACGGCTCGCGTAGTTAATAAGTCAAGTTATCAAGAACCTTTTTCAAACTTAAATTAATAATAAAATCATTACTCCATAACTTGGCTCCCAAATGTGATTTTGGTGCAGACACCTGACCATTTAGGCTGGCTAATTTGCGTTACAATACGAAAACCATCATGGCGGCTATCGTGAATATGGGCTATGATACAGTTTTGTTAAAGTTGTCAGTTTCTGGAATCGAAAAAAAAAGAGAATCTTCAGCTGGTAGCACTCATTCATCATGTTGCAATAGCGGCCAGAATTTTCCTTTTTCGGTTACAAACCTGTTTTCATTGGAAGCTACAAGAGTAACAAAATTGTTCAGATCTTCCCAAGCCAAATGTTAACTAATATTCTAGAGCCCTTCATTGTTTTTATTACAGGTTAAATATCATAGTTTCCATAAAATGTATCAACTACTTTTGTCGACCCTCGTAAGTTGTTATTACTGTTGACTTCTACATGATTTTGTTCACGTCTTTCCCCTCAGCTCTTTGCTAGCACAACAGAACTAAGACAAACAGGATCAATATGGCATTGGATACGCTCAGCAGTTTTATGATACTGGTCTGTGCTGTCGCCCTGGTTATTTTGGTCTCGTTGACTGTTTACACGTGGTATAAGTGGCATATGAAAGAGGTACAACAAGCGGCGACTCCTTACCAGGCCGCCAGCGCCGAGCTCGCCATTGAAATGACGTCACACACACCTCACCATCCGCAGTCGCATTTTCAGAGGGGCTATTTAAACACAGTGGGGAGGGACAGTCCAAACCTGAGTGGCTCACGGACCTTCCTGAGCGATGAGGTGTTGAAGCAAAAGCCAAACCTACCCCCGCCTGCGTTTGAGAGCAAAGACGTTGTCTTCCACGCCAACGCAGAGCGTAATCCTGACGAGCTAAAATCCAGCGACGTAGTTTTCCACGCGAACGGACCATTCGCCGATAACACAACGACCAATGGGACTCAAGCTGGTCAAGTGGTATACAATGGCGAGGGCACGAGCGGGAAACGAAGATGGACCGAGTCCACGGTCCCAGCGGAAGACGAAGATGAAAACGATGTCTCGCATAGAAAAAACACGTATCTGTGAAAGAATATAGACTGCAATTCGTTGAGTGTAGTTTTGGCCGCATATATCGTCCCTCATTTATATAAATTTTATAGCTTTGACCCTAAAAGGCTAAGTCTTTTAGACTTGGAAGCCTAACATATTTTTTGCATCGCGAATGTTTAACTGAGATCCGAAAGTAAGGGAAATTTAAAACCTCCATTTATGCGTTCAAATGTAGTTTTGTCTTACTCATCGTTTGTACCTTAGACTTGGTAGTAGCCTTGCCTAATTTACAAGATGTTTCACATAATGGCACGCCAGTAGGGTGAATAGAAAAGACTTCTAAGTTAAACTAAACTCTTGATTGTCTAAAAAAAAGTTAATTTCTCAACGCTTTTCCTTTTCTTAGATAAAATCAAATGAATTCAACTTATGCTTTGCGTTACGTGCCAGATTGAGGAGACTAAAACGTACAAGTCGCTAATATTAAAAAAATCGTAAGAAATTTCTTCTCACGTTTGTGTTGAATCAAAGATCTCGGATTCTTAATGTCGAGGAGAATGAAAATCTTATTGTACTTTGCGATATTACCATCTGCGTTGCCTTTACATGTAAGTACTTGATGTTTTTAGGCCAGACGCCACCTTAAAAATTAGCTATCCTGAATTCTAGACTTATATTGCCAACAAGATAGGTGAGCCCAAATGCGAGTGTACGGTCAAACGTTCCTCATTTTCTATTTTATGTTTCTTATTGCAACGAGAGTATTTGTAGAGAAGAATTCTTTATGTTTCAAATGGTAGCGGTAATCCTTATATAACGAGGGGCATATCAAACTACAAAAGGTAAATAGCATTTATAATTCGCCTCATTGGCACTTGCCGGAAGGTAGAAGTAGGTTTATTTGTCATAATGTATCTTTCTTGTACATAGGGGTATTTTCATAAGCGCGTGTTAGATAAGGATGTGATAACCAACACATCATGGTTGAGTTTTGTAAATTGTGGGAATGCACGCATACTAAAATGATCTAAAATATATTCCACAGTTGTTTTTAACCCACCTTTTTTGATGATGTCTTTTGTATTGAAAAATGAAATAAAGTATCAGAGAATTATAATATCAGTTTAGAGGCATATATAGCCGTGTCAGATTTAATGGCGACTGGAGTCACGCAATTTCCTCTGATTCCCCAAACACACGGCAGTAGACCGAGGTGTTAATAAGAAACAATAAATGTGAAATTTTTTCGTTCCCTTTTCATCAAGGTTCAGTTTATTGTTGCACCCGAGAGATCATATAAACTGTATATGCAGACTTCTCATTTTTCCAGCCGAATGCCTGATCAGGGGAAAATACGATGTTTATCACGTGGTCAAGTTTTATGAAGGTCATCCATCGATCACCAGTTCTAACGAAAAGTATGTTGATACGTAAATACATGAATAATCATTTCCAGTGGCGGATCTAGGGGACGGGCCTGGAGGCCCCCCCCACCCACCTCCTTACTTTGGGTCCAAAAAGAAGAAATGGCAGAAGAAAGAAAAGCCGGCAGGGCAAGAAAACCAAAACCGTTTGTACGTAACAAATTAAAACCTGAATAAAATCCAGGCTTGAACGGGGTTCGAACCCATGATCTCAGCGACACCGGTGCAGTGCTCTGCCAACTGAGCTATCCGAGCCAACAAAACAGGGAGCTGGTCACGTTTTGAAGTCGTAGTATACCAGTACGATGGTAAAGATAAAAGTGAACATATGAAAGATCATATAGTTGAACTGAGGAGAAAGATATGAAGACATGAATGATTATCGCAGTTATATACACAAAGTTAAAAAAGCAGCTGTGAAATTTAAGCCTAAAACAAATATAAATAAATAAATAAATAATAATAATAATAATAATAATAATAATAAATATAATAAAAACAATA